ATAATATCGATCGTACCGCATGAAAAATGTCATACATATTATTTTGATTGTCCCTTGCTGCTTTATTTATTTTTTTTTTTAATTCTTATTAACTTACGCATTTCCGTCGTATCTCTTAAGAATTTATTTATTATTACATAATAGTAATCTAATAAGAATTCCTCGCACAGTCTGTTAAGATTTTTAAATTTCCAAACCAAACGGCACATTATTTAATCCAATATCCTGTCAAATTAAATATAAATTGTAAATTAGAAAGCGAGAAGAAAAAGGAAAAAAGGAAGAAAATACGTATGTGTATCAAGGGTAGAAAGTCGGAGGGAAACACGGAGGTGAGGTACATGCGGCCCGGGTGGAGGGCCCCACTGTAATGCCAGGGAGGGGGTTATACGCGTTAAGCCTGGTTCTCCGTGGTTCCCATGGATTCCAGCGCGGATATCTTCAGCGCGGATCGACAGCGCGGACGGAACAGGAGGACACAGGCCAAGGAAAGAGAGGAGGCTGCCTGCCACCGCCCGCGTATCTTCTGATGCATCGCCTCACCTTTCAGTGCGTATTTAAACGATACGATAGTTTTATACGAGCGATCTGATATCGGGACTCCGAGAGCGGGAGAAAGGCCCGGCTAGGCTCTCCTCTCTCGGCTCCCGGCACGGTCACGTTTGCAGCTTCTTCGTCCACGGGCGGAGATCGATCGCTCGCTCTATCTCGTTCCGGTTCCAACCTTCGCTCGAACCGGCGCATCGGGCCCTTTAACATGACGGAAGCATCGAGCTCTTTCGAGCTCACGCGGCCGGATCGTTTACGAGGGCCCTCGCTGCTCCTTTTTTCGCAGCTTCCTCCACTCGGACCTCCAGGCGCCGTTAAGATCGCCTCGGAATCTGAGCGAGATAAACGTACTGGAAAGATTTTCGAAATTGTATAACTGATAAACCGAAATTATTTTCATTGACGTCAAAAAAAATCATCATTTCGATCTATCATATTTAATTATCACGCATTAATATTTTTCAGATATTCGATTAATATTTTTTAAGCGTACTAGAACGATACGAAACGACGCGCGCTTCGGGCGCGCCATTTATTTTTTAATATTGTATATCTTTATATGACATATTTACATCACATATTATATAACCTCGTCACTAAAATCTCACATGATTACTAATATTAACTAATGTCATTCCGAATTTTCATTTTCAAAATTTAATATTTATTCCTATTCTTAATATTTCCTCCATTATGTGTAAAGCTTCACGAAAAGATATTGTAGATCTTATATTTAATTTTGTTATAACGTTGAAACCTCTATATTTGAGATAACGATACAATAGCGCGCGGCCTTGGTACTTTGTTTACAATCGAGAGATATTGTGTACGCGCGCGCAGCGCGTTATCATTCAACCACCGACACTCGTGCGGATAGATAGTGTTACGTATCGCTCCGCGTATCTTCACATTTTCTTTTTGAAACGAAATCGCGACGAATTTTAGATGACATTCAGAACATCGATACATCCTACGATGCATGTTATAATAATTGATAGCTTACACAGTTATGAGTTTATCGGATTTATACGTATCAAAAGACGACTTGTTACATTTGAATATTCCGAACAGCGGAACTGACTCGTATTCATTGATCAACGCTTATCTTTTGAAGCATAATGATAATTTATTTTTGTAAACGATACGATAATATTGCCTCAACATGACGGAAGGGCTGCGTATTCCGAGGAACTTTCTTTAATGATCTAATTCGAATATCGTTAACGTTGAGCATAAATTGTCTTGGAATGAAGCTTCTCCAGTTTGAAATTCTCACTCTCCGATTTAAATGTAATTTGTATTTTGTAATACATATAGTTAATTTGTATAAATCGTTTATCGTGAAATATATAAGATATATGTATCTATATATGTATCTCAAATAAATTGTAATGAATCTATTAAGAGTGTATGTTCGTTTTTGAGCGCTCATGCGCTATAAGCATCATTTTATTTTTATTATTCATATATGTCAAAGGAAAATAAAACAATGCTTACAGCACATGAGCGTTCAAACAAACGCACTCTAAATGAAAGAGCAAATGATAATAGAGATTTAGAAGATAAAATGTAACAATTATATTATTTAATATTTCATTATCGAAAGATGCTATAACGCTTCGTAGAAATTAAATTTGATTTGTAATATGTGTTGAATTTCGTCATAGCCAGACTATTGTTGTTGTAACCTTGAGTTTACGCGCGGCTGGTATGTCACGTGTTTACGAGCGCTCCACGCGC